CCGCGCCGCGGCAGGCCTGGGCAAGCAGGCCCGGAAAGAAGCGGCCAGGACCGGCCCCGCCAGCCTCGGCCCGCCTGTCTCAGCCTGGAGGAGGAGGAGGAGGAGGAGGAGGAGGAGGAGGGGGAGGAGGAGGAGGAGGAGGAGGAGGAGGAGGAGGAGGAGGAGGAAGGAGATCCGAATATGATATGGATACAGGCCAGGGGCTAGCGGCTAAGGGAGGAACAGGAGGAGGATTGATTGACTGACGGATTGATTGACGACATATACTCAAGGATTCTCACATTTGATGTATGTACTCATGCTCACGTTCTGCTAGCTGGGAGCCAGCCGCCCCCCTTTTAACGAGGGGACTGAACGAGGCCCAAAAGTGCCACCTACGAGTGCCCCTCTCCAGCCGATCCATCCTCCATTCCACCTAGACACCTGGACCTAGGACCTAGACTCTTCTTCCCCCCACCTGCTAGCCCACCCGAAAAAAACTTGACTTCGCCATCTTGGCAAGCCACCGCCATTGCAACACGTGCTTTAGCCACGCGAGAGCGAGGCTTCAGCGAGGCCGCTTCCACTCGGCCTCGAGGATGGGCCCTTCCACAGCTCGATGCCGCTGCACAGGATGGCCAGCTGGACGATGCCGACGCATGGAACGGCGACCATGTTGCCCAGGAGGTTCCTGGGTTGCTTGACGCTGGTGAGATCCACTCTGCGCTGCCACCCCATGGCCTTGAACAGGGTGTGGTCGTTCACGAGGCCGGCGGGCGTCCAGAACTTCGAGCGCGTCCTCAATTGAGGCAGAAGGCCAGTCCACGTCCAGCCCTTGCGCTTCAGGCTCTGGCTCAGGTCAACGACCAGGTCGTCGATCTTGTCCTGGTCCAGATTTGCCATGGGCATCAGCACTGATCTGGGAGAGGGCGGCAGAGAGTCATGGATCGGTGGCAGAGCCCACAGGTCGCTAGACCAATCGCCAAGGACCAATGAAAGGCTCCATCACCAGTGCAGGTCTCCCTGCCGCAGTCTCTCAATTTGGTGCCAGTGCCCATGGCATGGGCCCCAATTGTTCTTCTCGTGGAGAAGCCCCAACACGTTCACGATGTCCGCCTCGCGCGCAGGGAGCTCGCCATCTGCAACTGCTATCTTAGACTGGATCCCATCGCTCAGGTGGGGAAGATTGAAGGTGGCACGGTACTCATTGGACTGCTTGGCGGCGACGTCCGACATTGGCTTTGCAGTCGATCTCCTTCTCTTGGTAGCTTGAAGAGGGGGCGTTTCCTCGACGAAGTCCTGCAATTTCATCTGGCGCAAGGGGTGCATCTGGGCGATGTTCAGCATGTCCCGGATGTTGACGCCGATGCTATCTTCGTAGAAGTCTTTGCGGATCAAGATAAAGAACAACCTCGTGCGTAAAATCGGCAGCCCCATGCTACAAGCGTTGACAACGATGTAGTCGAGGTCTGCGTCCTTAACCAAAACATATTCCTTCCAATGCTTCAACCCATACTTGAAATCAATGGCGTCATCGGCAACGTTCCGCTTGTAGTTGAAAGCCACGCCCTCAAGGATGTATTTCAGCGGCGCGTGCCCCGAAGACTTGTTCGTGTTCTTGATGCCGGGCACTTGCTCCAGAATAATGATTTTGGGCCCAACGCCATTCATAGTCACGTTGACCCACCACGCGAGATCCACAATGACACCTCCCTGCGGATGTTGCCAGAATCGATATCCACGATCGTGGACGGCAGCGTTGAGCGCCGAAAACGGCGGGCATGGGAAGCCGCAAATCATCATGTCGCAGTTCATCATGTCATCGTAGCTGCCGCAGGGTTCGTCTCCGCACTGCTGGCAACCAGCCAGCTTGGTCGAGTATTGGGCTTTGTCACATCCGAGCAACCCGATGCGTCTGAAGTAATGGGCTGGGGCGAAATTCAAGGTGATGAACCTCTGGGAGTCCGGATCCGTGTCGACAGCTGCCACATGCTTAAAGTCCTTGCCGCCCAGGAATTGCTCAAAGATGATCTCGGTCGCGTGGACCTCTAGATGGGGTTTCCAAGGGAGGGCGCCTCCAGGGCGCCTTTGGGGAGTGCTCAGGGGGGCGGCGGCAACGGGCGCCGAGGGCGACGGGCCCCGGCCGCTGATGGGCCTCCGAGGGCTGGGGGAAATGATTCCCCCTGCGGCTTCAACTCACAGACGTGAGTATAACTTTATAACGCGCACAGGCACACACGCATATATACACATGTGTATATATATATATATATATATATGTATGTATATACAATTACACCAATATACATACATACATACATACTTACGTACATACATACATGCATACATACATTCATACATACATACATGCATAGATGTAGATGATAGATGCATGCATGCATGCATGCATACATACACAACTTGCCCATACCGCGCACACCTGTATAATGCAGAATAAGTACATATGTGTATACACATATAGGTCTGTGGATGAGGACAAGATAATCAAGAAGAAGCCGGATTGGAAGAGAGGAAGTTGGGTGTTGCATCCCACAGACCGGCGCGTCCGTGCCAGAACACAATGTCACAATCTTGAACGTGCCATTCGGGACCTGTGGTTTCTTGAAATCCGCGCAGTTTGACTGGAACAACTCACCGTAGAAAGAGCACCACTGATCAGGAAGAGGATTGAGATCCGAAATCAACTCAGGGTCTGGGATGTTGACCTCGTATGAGCACTGGGACATATCATCTGGCTCCTCCTCCTCATCTTTCTCACTGGCCGACTTGTCGTCGTCGTTGCAGGGATCCTGTGGGACACGATTTCTGTTGTTCATTGATGCTGGATGCCTGGCCATGTCTGATGCCGCCCGACGTTGATGCTTAATGTTGATGCTGCTTTTCTCCTCCTCTCCCCTCTCCTACTTCCCCTCTTCTCCCGACACGCCACATCGCCCTCGCCATTTCCGTTTCTCGTCCTCTCATCCCCCCCCCACCCCCCACGCAGAACCCTTTGTTGTTGTAGGTCTTGGTCGGCTTAGGGGATCAGGCTGAGATTAGAATAAGTGTGCAATGAGGGCCTAATATGGGCGCCCACGAAGCCGGAAATCCAGGCGCCACCAAGTTTTGTTCTGAGCGACCCCAGGGGCCGCTTCGATCTCTCGTAGGATTCACGGCCTTCGCCTTCGCCACTCGCTGAGAGACGCCGGATCAGATCACGCACGCTTCGCGTGTGCCGGGGGGGGGGGGGCATGGTCTTAAGTTTAAGTCTTAAGTCTGAAGGCTACGCAACGATGGGTGTTAAACCAGCTCTGACCCGCCCGACCTGCCCCCCCCCCACACACACGCCACGCGACCCTCCCCTCGCACTTGTCTGCGCGATGGAACGCATAAATAAGGAAAGAACTACCTGTTTCGGGCCCAGAAGCGCACGGGCGTACGAGGAGGGCTAGAGGAACAACCGTGGGCATGACCTCAGGACTAAGGAACAGCGAGTCCATTTCGAATCCATAGTGGCTCTTATTTCAGCGTCTTGACTGCAGGACCCAGGGCCCATTCACCCAGGGCACCAGTCGCAGGACCAGACCAGGCACGAACGCAGGGCGAGGACCAGGACCAGGTTTTCGTTCAAATATCCTGGAAACACGGGGCCTTTCTTTCAAAAATCCTGGAAACACGGGGCCTTTCTTTCAAAAAATCCTGGATACACGGGGAAGGGGGGGGGGGGGCGGGGCCGTGCCGTCGGGCAAAAAAGGCGTGGTAGGCCGCGGGGATCAGTTGGCGGCGAGTGTAACACGAAGAGAATTTGCGGGGGGCGCTGTAGAGACACTATCATTAATAGAAGCATACAGAATACACACACAATACAACAAAAAAACACTGGCCGCCACAAAAGATAAATGGGGAGCTAGACGTTAGGGGAGGACGTAGGGTCGGGGTAAGTTGGGAAGAATGTTACGCGCTCGCACTCGGCATCCGTCACGACGCGGTCAGCCATCGTCCTGCGGCGCGCGTTCGCCCGGGGAGGGCAACGAGCGAATGCGAGCAGTCCGAAGAGGCACGGCCCCCAAACCCCAGACGTTCTAGGACGAGCGATCTCAATGATATATGTATGTTTTCTCATCATGAAAGCATGATATGCACATCAACATAATGACGATGGGATCCAGCGCCCGACCCGGCGCCAATCCGGCGCCAACCCGGCGCCAACCCGGCGCCAATCCGGCGCCAATCCGGCGCCAACCCGGCGCCTAATCCGGCGCCAATCCGGCGCCAATCCAGCGCCAACCCGGCGCCAATCCGGCGCATGGGCTGTTTGCATTCAGCCCGAGGCGGCGCCAACCCGGCGCCAATCCGGCGCATGTCGGCGCATGTCGGCGCATGGGCTCTATGGATAGAGCGGAATCCGGCGCCAACCCGGCGCCAATCCGGCGCATGTCGGCGCATGGGCTCTATGGATAGAGCGACTGCGGCGAATGGATGTCGGCGCAATTCCGGCGCCAATCCGGCGCATGTCGGCGCATGCGCCAATGCATGCAGCTCAAATGCCAATGCCATTCCGGCGCCAATCCGGCGCATGTCGGCGCATGTCGGCGCATGCTGCTTTACACGCAGCAAAAGCCGGCGCCATTCCGGCGCCAATCCAGCGCATGTCGGCGCATGAGCCAATGCATTCAACCCAAGACAACGCCATTCCGGCGCCAATCCGGCGCCAATCCGGCGCATGGCCGCGACATATTCCGGCGCCATTCCGGCGCATGGACCGTGATATGATGATGTAATGAGGTGCTTGATGATGGCATGTTAAGATGATGATGATGATGATGATGATGATGATGATGAATGATGATGATGATGGTGGGGATGATGATGAGGATGGGCCTGAGGATGATGATGATGATGATGATCATGATATATATATATATATATATATATGTATATATATACATATATATATATCTAAGTAAAGACTCCACCGCATCCCTGACACGCGTACAGAACTGGACGTCGACTAGTCACCTTCGCCACACAGAACTATTAAACACACACCCCGCAAGCAAAGGATACAAGGTATGCGGAGTCCAAGCACAACCGTCTGCTCTGCGGATCTACCATCTCGCAAGAAACCTGATCGGCGAATAAAAGGATCAGCCTACGCCATGCGCAGCCCATACATAACAACGCACAACAATACAAAAAAAAAAAATAAAAAAAAAAAAAAAAAAAGTAGCGATATTAAACAACACTAACGGTTTGACCTAATGTACGATATGTTGCAGTGTGGCGATACAATACGTATGGTATGGTGGGTTATTATCAAGACGCAGAGTGGACACCAGCACACGCCGCAATAGCAAAAGCTATAAGGTCAACAAGCAAAATACATATCTATATATTTATACATACATGTACATACATATAACATTCGCTGGTAACACAGGACTATAGGACCACAGGCCACGCACAGTCCATCGCATCCTCATTCATGTGCACTTGTATGTGGCGGCAGGGGGGGAAGAGGGGGATCCCGGATCGGCAGCATGGTAGCATGGTGCACACTGTAAGGATGATGAACAATATATACAACATGACTATTCCAGAACAGATTGTACTGACGCGCAACGGCGACTGCAGCATCATGAGTCATGAGCGACGAAAGCCCTGGCCCCATGCATCCAGCATGAGCCATGGGCCATGGGTTTCTCAGCGGACCCGGCCGGGAACAAGACGCCATGTTCGCGCGTTGTCAATGCATGGAGGTCCCAAAGCACAGAGGACTGCACGCGCGTGGTCAATGCAGGAGGGCCCAAATGCAGGAGGGCCCAAGACGCCTAGCCAACGGGTTAGATAGACAGAGGTGCCATGGATACCACAAGGAATGAGCAGGGGTCGCAAGGAGGGGGAGGACAGGAGGACGAATAAGGAGTAGCAAGGCATCACGCACGCACCCGAGCATTGGAGCGCAAGCACCGCGCGTCGTCCTCCCTTCTCTTCCTCCTCCCCCCTCCTCCTTCTTTCCCACACCACTTGGGCTGGGCCGAAACCTCAGCCCCCCTCCTCCACCTCCCCTGTCCCGCCCCCTCCTCTTCCATAGTTTCCTCCCCGCCCGTCCATGCGTCATCTGTCCCACGTTCGTTTCCATCCTGCTGGTCTACCCTTCTGCTACCTCTATAAATTACTGATATATATATATATATATATGTATAACAGCCCCCCCCCCTTCTTGCCCCCCGCGGCTGCCCCCCGCCCAGGACAGTGGCCGCAATGCAAAGGGCAAAGGACAAAGGCAAAGGACAAGGTTGCACCTCCCCCTCTTCCTCGCGCCAGATTTCTGATGGGGCGACGCGCGTAGGAGCCCAAACCAGAAGGCAGTGAACAGTGGGAACAGGACTCCATAGCCAAAGTCCAAAGTGCCCGGGTGCAAGCGCTGTCTGGGGCGGGCGCGCTGGGCGCTGGGTCACGGGCCGTCCCCGCTGCCAAAATGGCAGGCGCCCCTCCTCAGCTCAAGCGCAGAGTGAGCAACCGGACGGATCAGGCCAGGAGATGCAGATGGTGGAAGGGGGAGAAGCTGATTCACCGCACTCTGCCGCAATGAACGCGGCTATTATTCTTCGCTCGCGCTGGCCTGCTCTGCGCGGCCACGCGCCCAGTCCACGGCGCCCAGCGCCCGCCAGCGCCCAGCGGCCAGCAGCGCCCGGCGCCCAGCAGCGCCGGCAGAGCAGCACCCGGCCACGCCCAGGAGCGCGCGGCGCCCAGCAGCGCCAGCAGAGCTGCGCCCAGCCGCGCCCAGGCCGGCGCAACCAGCGAGCAGAGCCGCGCACAGCGCCGACGCGGAGCCGACAACCTGCCCTACCCATTTAAATCAAATGTATTCGCAGCCACCCAGAGAGATAAGTACAAATGCAGACACAGTCATCCCGATAAGCCGATAAGAATGCAAGGGCCTTGCAAGGCCACGTCTGTATTTTTCGAGTGGGGCGCGGCCAGCGAAATCGGCCCAAGATTGGCCTGGGGGGAAGGATGCAAGGGTTACCTCGGCAGGCCCA